GGTGGTGGAGGTGCTGGTGGTGGAGGTGCATGTGGTGGTGGTGATGTGCGTGTGTGGTCAGGCGCAGTCGAGATGGTTCTGACTCACAGAGATCCTAGGTACAACAGAACACTGCCCAGCCCTGCATCATCCTTACAACTGTAGTTATGTTTGAGCTCATCGTTGCAGCCACCATGTCAATACATCTTGCCCAGGGCTTTCCTCTTTTTCGCTGCCCAAACCTGGTGCCCTTTTCCAGGGACTGGGCTCTCCTAACGAGTCCAAAGTACATGTGGTGAAGGCTCACCATCTTGTTTGTTCTTTTGGCAGTCAGCCCAGGGTGTTTTCAACGGTTTTCGGGTACCATAACTCAAAGGAAACGATTCTTCTTGGATCTTTCTTGTTCAATGTCTAACTTTCACATGCATGTGAGGCAACTGACAGTACCATGGTTTGGGTCAGGCACACCTTCGTCTCCAAAGTAACACCCTTGCTATGTATTTCGTTTATGAGCCATACATATGTCCAATCCACTTATTTTTTGGTTTTTGTTTTCCCTCCCTCTCTCCATGGTTTCCTGTCTCTCTCCTCCCTACTCCCCTCTCATCTAGTCCCCAAAGTCTTAGCTTTTGGTGTGAAAAGCATTTTCCTTTTTCTTTACTTTCCTTTATAATAGTGTTGTCATGAAATATTTATCTTTATGAGATTGACTATGCTAAGCATGATGTTTTCTAATTTTGTCCATGTCTTAACATGTTTGACAGACTTGTCATTGTTTCTTTTATTTATTTATTTATTTATTTATTTATTTGCCATTGTTTCTTAAGGAATCATAATGTTCCATTGTATGAGTGTGCCAGTTTGCTTATCCATTCTTCTGTAGTTGGAGTTTTTTATTGTCCCCCCACCTTTTTTTGCTAATGTAGAAGTTGCTGCAATAAATATGTCTGTTCACATTTTGTTCCTTATTTCTTTAGGGTATATACTAAGTAGAGAGATTATAGGATCATAAGGTATATGTATTTGCATTTGGTTAAGGAAGCATCATACTGATTTCTACAGTGGTTGTACAAATCAACAATCCCATATGAGGGTCCAATCTCTCCACATCCTCTACTGCACTTATCTTGTCAATATGAGGTAATGTCTCATTGTTAATTTAATTTGTATTTCTCTTATTGCTAATGAACAAGACTGTTTCTTCACATAAATCTTGGCCACCTGGATGTCATGGACTATTCAAGTCTTGTGCCCATTTTTTATTAGGCTAATTGTATCTTTCTTATTAAGATGTTGTAGTTTTCTATAGGTTTTTTAAAGTAGCCCTTTATCTAATATTGATAAATATTTTCCCACTATATTTCAACTCTTTTGATGAAGTATTTTGATATGCATAAATATTGTGATTTTAGAAGGTCCCAGTCATCTATTTTGCCTTCTATAGTGTGGGTAATTTATATTATGTTTGGTAGATTATTAATGCCTTATATTAGGACCCTTAATTTTGTTGCTATTTTTTTCATTGATGATCTTTAAGGTTCTACGGTTTATATTTGGGTCTTTAATTCATTTTGAATTCATTTTGTACATGGGGTGAGTTATGGGTCTTGCTTCATTCTTTTGCCACTGGAGATCCAATTTTTTCTAGTAGCATTTGTTGCAAAGGCTATTTCTTCCCCACGTAATGTGTTTTAGTCCTTTATCAAAAATCAGGTGTCTGTAGGTACTTGGTTGTATTTCTGGATTCTCTATTCTAATCAATTGGTCTTTATGTCTATGGTATCAATATGTTTTAAGTTCTAGGCTTTAAAACTTGGGAGTGAAAGGATTCCTACTTTTTAAAACATAGCATTTTGATTTTGTTTAGCCTGGTTTTCTTTCCATATAAAATGATGATTTGTTTTTCCACTTATTTGAATCATTATGCTGAGATTTGGATCAGAATTGCATTGAATTTATAAAGTGTTTTGATAATACTGACATTTTCACTATATTTAGTCTTCCTACCCAGGAGCATAAAACATTCTTTCATTTGTGTAAGTCTCTTTTGATTTCTTGTAGAAGTGTCTAATAATTTTCTTTGCATAAGTCTTTTGGTAAAATTTGGTAAAATTTATTCCTGGATATTTTATCTTTGGTAGTTAGTGGAAATGGTATTGTTTTTTTAATTTACTTTTTGACACCATCTTCTTTAATAGACAAGAAAACAACTGCTTTCTGTATGTTGATCTTTAGTCTGCCACATTGCCAAATTTTTCAACTAGTTCTAGCAATTTTTAAATTGAATATTTGAGGGCTTCTTTATATAAGATTATATTATCTGCAAATAGAGTGTCTTTTCTTCTGTGCCTATGTGGATGCCTTTAATATCTTTTTGGTATCTTATAGCTCTGGCTAAGACTCCAGGACTATATTAAGTAAGCATGGTGATAAAGGACAAGGTCGTTTGCCTTCAAAGGGGGGATGTTTTCAATTTCTTTTCATTACGTCAGATGTTAGTCATTGGTTTGTGCGTATGGTTTTTATTATACTGAGGAATTTCCTTTCTATTCTTACATTATTGAGTGTTTTTTATCAAGAATGGATGTTGAATATTATTAAATGCCTTTCCCATATTGGCTGATCTAATCATATGGTTTTGTTTATGTGGTGAATTACATTGATTGTTTTTCTAATATTAAACTATTCTTGCATATTTCGTATGAATCCCATTTGATCATGAGCTATTCTTTATTTGATGCTTCGTTGGATTCTGCTGGCTAGAACTTTGTTTTCGTTTTAATTAATAATTAATTAATTAATTAGTTTATTTTTAGAACTTTGTTGAAAACGATGGCATCTATATTAATCAGAGATATTGGTCTACTGTTTTCAATCCTGGTGTTGTCTTTGCCTGGCTTAGGTATTAGAGTTATATTTGCTTCATAAAATGAGTTTGGTAGGATATTGTCCATTCGTACATTGTGAAATAGTTCATGTAGGATTTGTGTTACCTCTACTCAAAATGTTTGGTAGAGTTTCTGGTAAAACCCTCAGGTCCTGGGCTTTTTGATGTTGGAAGCTGTTAATGACAGATCAATTTGTTCTCATGTTATAGAATTGTTGAGATTTCCTACACCCATTTGTGTTAATTTAGGTAGGTAATGCATTTCTAGAAATGTATCCATGTCTTCTAGATTTTGAAGTTTGTGGGAATATAAGTTTTCATAAGATTGTGTGATTTTTAAAAATCGCAGTTGGTTCTGTTTTAATGTCACCCATTTCATTTGTGGTCCGTTACATAATTTCATGTCAACTGGATAAAGTGAAGGGGTGGAGTTTAGTCTGTCAATAAGGTCCCAGCCTGATGACTCCTGGTGGGCATGCCCTTCTCATGAGGATTCTGGGAACTTTCTCTCTTTCTCCTAGAGGTGGGCCACACTCTCTGCTTCACCTTCCTACTGACAAGCCACAGGGAGCCACGCTGACACCTGAGGGAGCCCTGGAGATGCTTCCATCGCCACTTGATCCTCAAGACGTTGCACCCACCAGCCTGTGATCTTTCTGCATTTGGCATCATTGCATGTGCTGTGTGAGTCTGAGAGGAGTTTATGGACTAGTATCAGACATATGGGCTACTATCACACTTATGAACTTGATCTGCTCTGGGCTGGGATGTTCTCTCAATATACAGTTGCTCTTTGATAAAAAGCTCTCTCTTACACAAATCTGAGTGTTTCTGGATTTGTTTCTCTAGTCTACCTGGCCAACACATAATTTCTTATTCATAATATTTTCTTTTTCTCCTTTTCCCTTGTCAAGTTTGCCAGTGGCTTATCAATTTTTTCAATCTTTTCAAAGAAACAACTCCTTTTCTTATTGAAGTTTTTCTTTTTTTTTAAGGGGAGAGGTTACCCATTTT